CAGTACTTAAAAAATAATCTGGTGGGCCCTGGCTGGGTAGCTCAGTTGGTTGGTGTGTCGTCCCATATCCAAAAGGTTGTGGGTTTGATTCCCAGTCAGGGCACAGACCTAGGTTGTGGGTTTGATGCCTTGTCAGGGTGGTTACAGGAGGCAGCGGATTGATGTTTCTCTCTCTCTCCCCTCCCTCCCTCCCTCCCTCCGTCTCTCTCTCTCTCTCTCTCTCTCTCTCTCTCTCTCTCAAATCAATAAACATCCTTGGGTGAGGATTCAAAAAGAAAACCTGGTAGTTCCCCCTTGGGATGGGTTTTGGGTAGAAGGGTGATGGTAGACACACCTTATTAGAATTGCTCTGAAACTTAAAAGAGTTTCTAAAAAGCAGCACATCTGTGATTTTGCAGTGCTGTGTGATCATTTATGTTCCCTTGTTCTCATAGTGGCTTCTTAAACTTGAGCTTGACAGTTTTCTGCATCCTATTACAGCCAAGTTAGGGACACTGGCACCTTCACGTTTGTTTTTTTTTTTTCAGCTCACGGTCAAATTTATCCTTGTCCAGCTTCTTATAAGGTATTTGTAAATAAAGGGTTATGTGTATTCATGATAGAGGCCAATATTTGATGGCAAAGTTCTATGGTGAATTTTTAATAGGAAGGTCTTCTAATAAAAAAAATAATAAAACAACCTCCATAATGTATTCAGTATTCCTCTGTGCTTTTTCTTAAACTAATTCCTGGCTAGGTTGGCTCTGTTCAGATAGTTGCTTGGTGAACCTTCACCCTACTCTTTATGACTTGGACATGGCCTTTTAAATAAAAAATTAGGTCCTAGCTTGTGTGGTTCAGTGGGTTGACTGCCAGTCTGTGAACCAAAAAGATTGCAGGCCAGGTCCCCGGCTGGGGGCGTGCGAGAGGCAGCTGATTGGTGTTTCTCTCCCACATCGATGATTTTCTCCCTCTCTTTCTCCCTCTGTTTCCCCTAAAAAAATAAATAAATCTTTAAAAAATAATTAGTCCTGTGTGTTTAGAGGTTGAGTATTCTAGCCTGGGGAAGTATATATGTGCCACAGTTACAGTTCTGTAAGTGACTTTATGATCAATATCTTACTGTTCTTGAAAACTGATCCTTAAAACAATGAATAGCATTTATATTCAGTGGCAGCCATAACCATTTCCTAGTATTTCCTTTCAAAGGTTTTTGGTGAATGCTGGCTCAGAGATATTGCAGATAAAAGTAGTTTGGTGATTTATCACATTTTAAAATTTTGCTTTCTAATTAAAAGTAGAAAAGTCTTATTTGAAAGCTTGTTATAAGTAGAACTTGCATTTTACTCTAGAATAGAAGAAATGAAATTACAAGCCCATAGTTGAGTCTTGGTTATGGTAGTGATGCTTTGAGGCTTTTTCTTTTTTGTTTTGGTTCATTCAAAGAGAAGTGAAATACAAGTTGGAGTATATATGTGCTGTTACACACCCCAGCACCCTATAAACGTTCATGTCCTCAGAGAGACAGTGACAGAATTAGTGTGACCCAGCCTTGACTTGCCTGGCAACTAGTCCCCTACTCCAGCTTCTCTTCAGAAGGACTTCCTAAGTTTTTTAAAACATAGGTTCCTAGGCCTCAACACAGACCTACTGCATCAGACTCTCCAGGGGTTCATTTTATAATCTGTATTTTTGAAAGACTTGGTAGTGAATTCCACATACAGCCAGGTTTGGGAACTGCACCAGGCCTCTAGTTCCCAGTCGGACACAAAAGAACTTTCTCATGGGCAAGAAGGTGGTTCTGTTTATCAAATGCTTGCTAGCTGTGTATCACGTGCTATGGGAATTTATGAAAATGTATATGAGTATAGATTTTACTATTACTGCTCCCCAAATACTTGACTGGCGGCTGGTGTATGTGAGTCTCACTATGGTGGTTTGAGTTTTTCGAGGATGCAATTTTTAATGACTGTATCAATGCACCATAATTTGTCATGTTGCTTTAAAAAGTTGTTACTCACACGCAGTTGTAGAAACTACACTGGGTCTTTGAGTCCTGAGCTGGTTGCCCCTATCTGGACTCTACCATCTCTTCCACATGTTACATTTGTGTAACGCTTTTTCTTTTTTCTTTTTTTTTATAAAGATTTTATCTATCCATTATCAGAGAGGGAAGGGAGGGAGAGAGAGAGAGAGAGAGAGAGAGAGAGAGAGAGAGAAACATCACTGTGCGGTTGCTAGGGGCCATGGCCCGCAACCCAGGCATGTGCCCTGGCTGGGAATCGAACCTGCGACGCTTTGGTTCGCAGTCCGCACTCAATCCACTGAGCTACGCCAGCCAGGGCACGCTTTTTCTTAATAATGACCACTGGGCCAGTAAATGCCATGAGAAGCTAGCGCATGTAGTGGGTTCTTTTCCTTTTATAATGAAAGGGAGAACAATGTCAGAACACCTTTAAGGTGTTACATACGTGGAGGAGGTGTTCTGTGGAGATGTTTCGGCTTTGTATATGGATAGGGGAACGTGACTTTAGATTTCAGTATTTGCCGGTTTAAGAAGAGAGGCCCTGAAAGTTCTCGGCCGGCTTTGTGCCATCGTGTCACTAGGTGGAGATGTAGCATTGTTTGGTGGTGCAGGCGACGCGGAAAGAGTGCATCTTGGTTTCTTTTGACAAAAGTACCGAACGGGTATTTGATGAGATTTATTCAACCCTGGGAACAAACCCTGCAGATTTACTATAATTCTAGATTGTAATTTTGTAGGGTTTAAATTAAGTCCTACTTTAATGACTGTTTTCACACTGATCAACTCTTTTTTCCTCTCCTCTTACTAATATTTCCTCATTATTCCATCTCATCAGAGCTATTCTAATGTCTCTGTCTGTGGTTCTGTATAGTGGTTTAATCCTAGAGGTTTAATAAAATGATCAGAATTTAACTCTGTGGTCAAATACTACATAAAATTTTAATTTGATAGCAATATGAGGTTAATGAACCAAAACTTACAGTCTGAATATACCCAAATCTTATGTTTGTATTATTATTTTAGGTTGATACATCATATTTTAACATATGTAAATTCTATAGGGCTTATTTTCCCCCTTTCTTCCTTTCCTTCCATCCCTCTTTTTCTTACCTCTTGAATCTTAAACAGGCGTCTGCACAGTATTGATGAAGGTAATGTAAAAGTATGAGCCTGTCTCCAAAGAGCCGATATCTAGTTGAGAATGTTGCAAATATGCCATGAATTGTTTTAAAGTAATTTGAATATCTGATCTTTAGGAATTGTAAAGGTGAAATTAGAAAAAAACAACTCACTTTGGAAAATAGTCTGGCTATTCCGCAGACATTTAAATGTAGAACTACAGCACGATTGAGTGCTTTTCCTCTGCTAGTTGTATATCCAAGAGAAATGAAACTGTATGTTCACAAAAAATGTGGATGTAAATGTTCATAGTAGCATTATTCCTAATAGCCAAAAAGTGGAAACAATCCAAATGCCCATCAGTCAGTGGATGAATAAGTGAAATATGGTATATTTGTGCAGTATGATATTATTCAGCAATAAAAAGGAAGGAAGTTCTGACATGTGTTATAACATGGATGACCCTTGAAAACATTATGCTGAGTGAAAGAAGCCAGTCACCACACATCACATATTATGATTCCATTTATATGAAATATTCAGAACAATAAATCTAACAACACAGAGTACATCCGTGGTTGCCCAGGGTTGGGGTAGGGGAATGACTGCTAATGGTTATGGAGTTTCTTTCTGGAGTGGTGAAAATGTCAGGTTGAGCCCTGGCTGGTGTGGCTCAGTGGACTGAGTGCCGGCCTGTGGACCACAAGGTCACCGGTTTGATTCCCAGTCAGGGCACATGCCTGGGTTGTGGGCCAGGTCCCCAGTTGGGAGCATGAGAGAGGCAATCGGTTGCTGTTTCTCTCCCTATCTTTCTCCTTTCTTCCTTCTCTCTCTAAAAGTAAATAAATAAAAATCTTTAAAAAAATGTCACGTTGATTGTGGTAATGCCTGTACAACTCTGCAAATACACTAAAAACCACTGAGTGGTATGTACACTATAAATGGGTGACTTGTATAGTATTTCAATAAAGCCAGTTTTTAAAAAAATAAGTTATGGAAAGGTTTCAAATTCATCAAACTGAGGAATACTTATTGACTCTCTAACAGGCATATACTAAGGTCTGTGTAAGTTACAAAACAAGTGCTAAGACAAACCCTGACCTCCAGTTGCTCCCAGTTCGGGAGAAAAGGCACACACGCAGTATATCATAATGCACTTCTGCTTTCTGAAAATGTTCCCCATCTTTTAGGATGTAACCTCTTGAATTCTCTCTTCCAGCTCTCTCTGTAACAGCCCTGATCTTCTTATCCTATGTCTCTGTCCTTTCAAAAGCAAACTGTTGCTCGTAAGATTCTGATGAATATCAGCCCCAACCTGGTTACCTTTAACTAACTTAAAGGACAGTTTTAAGCTATGGTAGCATCTGCAATAACTTAGAGTGTGTGGTTCATGAAAAACTCATGCATTCAGCAAACATTTATTGATGTTTCATTTACAAATAATTGACAAATCTTGAGACTGTTGGCATTATTATCTAATTACAATAAACATCATTTTGCTATAATTTACTCAGGTTGCATGGTGTTCAGAAGTATAGTCTTGAGTTTATAGATTTTCATGAAAAATGCCTGATAGGAATATTTAAAACTAAAGCAAATGTGTGGTTAGTATAGAGCAGGCCATACCATCGTTAATGCAGTATGTTGATGTTGTTGTGGTCATTAAGACTTGAAAGAAGAAATTTTGGTTTAGTCATAGTATTTCTATTAATGCCAAAAAGGCTATTTTTAAAGAAGGCAGTAGTTGATTAATTCTAAATCCTTTAGGTTAGGAATTGTCCTTATTTCCTTATCTATTATGTCTGTCTGTCTGTCTGTCTGTCTACCTATGCCCGAGTTATTAGTGCAGCTGCTAAACTTTTTTCTTTCTCTGCAGATGCGTATGAAACTGCCAAGATGCTATGTGAGCAGTATTACATGGGAGCTCCGGAGTTAGAAGTTGAAGAATTTAATGGTAAATAAAGAATAATTTTAACCTTAAATACAAAGAAGTTGACTAAAAAACTGATTATACCTGAGCTATATTTCAGTGAGATCCTAAAATTATGCTGATTTTTAAAATCTTCTATATATTTTTAAAACCTTTTCTTCATCTGTGGTCAACTAGGTGTATTGCTGTAAGGAGTTTTTGTACAGGAATGTGTAATCTACTAGAACTCAAAGTTCTTGGAACATTTTCTTTCTACACTTCCAGTAGAAAATACACAAAGGTATAAATAGGCAGTTCTCAAAATAACAAATGAAAATACACAATAAACCTATAGAAAAGCATTTAACTTTATTAATCAAAGAAGTGCAAACAAAAACACAGAGAAATGCCATTTTTGTTTCTTAAAATAGCAAAGATTAAAATACTTTACTGCTTTGAATTGGCGCCCAGGAAAATACTTTCTTAGCAACACTTACATATTTCTGTTATAAGTTTCAATTGGTATGGCCTTTCTCAAAAAATGCTACCAATATTCTTTCTCTTTGACCCAGTACATAAAATTAGTAATAGTCATATTTTTAGTCTAGTAAATTAAACTTCAGAAAAATTAGTATAAGAAAAGAGAGGTATGCACAATTGTATGTACAAGAATGGTGATCACAGTGATTTCTTTATAGAGATAAATTAGAAAATCCAGGTTTTCTACAACAGAGGATATTTAAGTAAGTTGTGGTACACTTATATGATACAATAGACTACTATGAAGGCCTTTAAAATAATGCTTTAGGCCCTGGCTGGTGTGGCTCAGTGGATTGAGCACAGGCCTGCGAACTAAAATAATGCTTTAAAAGAATTTTTTGCCCTGGCTGATGTGGCTCAGTGGATTGAGTACTGGCCTGCAAAGCAAGGGGTCGCTGGTTCGATTCCTAGTCAGGGCACATGCCTGCGTTGCAGGCCAGGTCCCCAGTAGGAGACACACAAGATACAACCACACATTGATGTTTCTCTCCCTGTCTTTCTCCCTCCCTTCCTCTCTAAAAATAAATACATAAAATCTTTTTTAAAAGAATCTTTTAAACACAGGCTATAAAGGTTTGTAATAGTGCAAGTTCATTGGAAAGTATTTGTAAGGCCTTCTAGCATTATTATAGATGGAAACAACAGAAGTGTGGATAGTAGCATTATAGCCAACTTTTTTATTAATTGTATGAATCTTTATTTTCATGTTGTTTTTTTATTTGTAAGTTACCAAAAAAAGTCATACTCACTGTAAAACCACAAACAAGACAGAAATGTAGAATAAAAGCAGGTCTCCACTAGGTTGTCAGTCCCATAGAGAGCTTTATTTTTTACATAAATGGGGTTGAAACTATACATATCGCATAATGTGTTTTTCACTCCACTTTGAAGGTCTTTGCATGTATTGTCATGTAGACATTATCTGTAGTGTAGCTTACCATAATTTATTTAATCATTTCCCAATGAAGATGTGTGTGTGTATCTGTGTGTTTTGAAGGTGGGAAAATTTGTGAACATGTGGAAGCATTTCTGTGCATTAGATTCCTAGAAGTGGAATTCCTGAGTCTTAGGGTATGGGCATTTACAATGAAAGATAAATGGAAAGAATTCCATTTACAGGGCCCAAGATACAGGGCCCGGCAGAAGTAACGCCTGCCCGGCAGAAGTAACGCCTGCCTGAGTGGAATTCCTGAGTCTTAGGGTATGGGCATTTACAATGAAAGATAAATGGAAAGAATTCCATTTACACACCCAAGATACAGGGCCCGGCAGAAGTAACGCCTGCCTGAGTGTGGTTGGTAGGGTACGTGAATGTCTCGCATGAGATGGACAGCAATTTGAACATTTCCCCTAAAATGTCATATGGTGTGCTTGAGTGTGACATTGTTATGTTGCAGAATGACATGCTTAATATTTTGTAATAAAAGATTTGGTATAGATTGCGAGCTTGCAAATAGGGTTATTTGTGCCGGACCCTGTATATCAAAACTGTATTTTTCCTCTAATGAGATCAGAGTGTGAAGACACCTCAGGCTGCTGTTGTAAGACATTTCCCCCTACATTCTACTAGAAGGTATGGAATCAATGCAGCTTTTAAAGTCTCTTGGGTTCTCTAAGAGTTGTGCTGTTTTGAATCAACACACTATGAGAACCGAGTGGACTTGGCTTTGAATATTCCTGAGTAGAAGCATCTTGATAACCCCTCTTTCTCTCTCTGGCTAGGTGGGGCCTGACTGCACTGTCAAGCTTTCTGTTTGTCAAACATGGAACTGAAATTCATAGCTAGTAACCAATTGCTCCTTTACATGAATGGCAGCCTCACTCACTCCGAAGGCTGGAGCAGCGAGCCTGTTCTTGCTGGTTCCCAGGTGCCAGCTGTGTCAGTGTGCTCCTTCCCAGCAAGGCTGTCACGCGAGGCAATGCACCCCGCCAGGAGAAGAGCTTTATGCCTATTTTTGGCAGTGTTTCATGCATGGTTTTTGAAGCGCTTTTTCCCGTCACTAAGATAAATAAATGCCGGTGGTTATAGGCAGCCTCCAGTTTCCTGTTGCTTTGAGTAATGTATTTATGATTTCTTGAATGTCAGAGCTCTTTGTGAGGGCTGTTAAAGACTGTGTTTTATCTCTAATAAGCTCTGTATTAGAGATGCAGGTTAGAGGTTGGTCCTGAACACCTTAAGTAGACTCTATTGCTTCACAATGAAAGAGAGTACGCACGTGTTTCCCACAACATGATACCTGACTGTTTTCAGGGAGGGGCCAGATCACATCCAGAGACTTAGGGGTTGATTTTCAGAGCCTGTGTGAACTAGCATGGCCTCGCCTTTCGGAGTGCTCTGTGACCCAACGGGTGCTTCTAACAATAGTGACTGTGCTTGGTCCCCTCGGCTCTGTACTTCGGAAGAGTAAAACTGTCATTAACCCAAAAGAACAATTTGTTGCTGCCTGAGAATTTAATTTCTGTTAGTTTGACACATTACCTTTTTTTCCCCCTGATTTGTTTTTCTTTTCCAATGTTGATTCCTGAGAAGGTGGTAAATAGGATTATGCAGAACATACTATGTGAACACCACAGCATTTACCAGTCCCCACTACAATTCCCAATATTGGGGACCAGCTATAGTAAGCTTCCTTTATCATCTTTTCTGTAATATGTTTAAGAGGACCTTTAAAATAACAGCATTTTAGTTACCTCATATCAGGTATCAAATATTTCTGATTGGTCACCTGTGGCAACCCATGTGGGTTCCTCCAAGGACAAGTAACCATTTCATCACACTTGTCCTCATTTCTCTTCAGAAATCAGTTGCCAAAACATGAAGCAAATAAACATTTCTAATTAACCTCTGCTGCATCCATCCATATGGCATGGCAGCATGGCTGAAGGGGAAAGATATGAGCTTTGTAGCTAGCCAGGCAGTGGAAATCTGGACCCTACAAGTTAGCTGTGGGCCTTAGACAAGTCTCTTCACATCTGACACTCGGCTTTCTCATCCATGAGCTCACCCCGTGGAGCAATAAAAGGAGGATGTTTCTAGGGCCTCAAATATAACACTGGCACATACTGGATATTTTCAAAAGGGTGGCCACTGGAAGTGAGGGTTGACTTGGGAAAGATAAGACTCGTGGTTACTCCTTGCATTTTCCATCATTTCTAGATTAGTTGTTTCTGTCAAGAGGTTGATTTTATAGCTTAGGTTTCGTAGGGAGCAAAAATTTCAATTCATACCATGTATATTTTGTTATAAGAGGTTTCATAGAAAAGGTACATATCTATCTTGAGCTTGTTGGCCTCTATTTTCCCAATATTGGATATTTTTGTGGTTATTTTCAGGCAAGTGGTTCTGTGTAACAATCGAAAACCATTACTAGTAACTCCATTAATAGTGTAGACATTATTTTTTTTAGTGATGATAATAGGCAACATTTATTGACTGCTTACAATGTAAACTGTGTAAACTAGTTTATCACTATGATCTCATTTAATCCTTGTATTAACCCAGGGAGATATATTCTGTGCCATTTCAGAAATGGAATGCCGAGGCCCAGATGGGTTAGGTACCTATTAATATATGTATTAAATGCCTAAGTTGGGACTTGATCTTAGGTCAAGACATGTTATTTATTATTTTGAAAGAGGGCTACTGTGGGAAAGGGGGAAGGGACTCGTTCTTTTCTCCTTTTTTAACAAGTTTTAAAATCATTCATGTATATTAATAATTTCAAAAATAGCTGATCATCAGACAGTTCAGGAGTTAGAATCAACAGCTCTTGGTTCAAGTGTCCAATTTCAGCACCTCTTCTGTTATGGTGAGCAGTCCAGTGGCCTCTGCAAAGCCTGTGTCCTTACCCATCACAGTGCCGCCCACTCTCTGATCTACACAGTATTGTCACGAGGATTCAATTGCATAATGTTTAAGCTCTTCGTAAACTGCTAAACACCAAACGAATGTTCTCTCCACTTTATACTCTTCATTATGTATTTTATTAGAGGAAGCAGTTTGGTTGAAATTATAACATGGGTGAGTTTGTGTTCTACTTGAGAAAGTTCACATCATTTTAGTCTCTTAGGTGATTTCAGGTCACGAGGACTAAGTTTTGTAGCCTCTGCTCTATAGCCCACACTGATCTGAGTGCTTGACACAGAGTTTGGTATTTCTCAGATTTCCCCCAGAAAATCCCTGATGCAAAGAGCAAGGACTGTCGGTTGTCCTTGCAGGACTGGAGGCTGTCTGTTAGCTGCTAGTGGAAAAAGGTTATGGGAATCTTACATTCTACTCCATCATATGCCTTGTCTGTCACAGTTTAACATCACTGTTAGTCTGCTTCACTGAAACAGTGTCCCCTGTTTCCTGTGTGCCTTTTACATCCCCCCTGCTGACCTGTGGGGTCACTGCTAGGGGTGGGTGTCTCCCGATGTGAAAAATACTGAGCGATATTTGGATGACCTTACATAATGCTCAGAACATTAGGCTTAAGTGATAATATTCCAATTTGGCTAAACTAGATTCGAAAGCAATTGAGTCATTGGCCCAAGGTCACGTAGCTGGTAACTAAAGGAACCAGATGGCACCCCGTATTTGTTGGACTGCCAAAGATTTGCTCAGCCCTGCCTTTAGAGAGGTGGCAACCTAAATTGGCCTTTTGCAGAGTTCTGTTTTAGGTACTCGGAAAAAAGAATGCAAACACTTGACTTTCTTCGAGTTTTGGCCCTTACTCATTGACCGTTTTGTTTCTGTTTTCAGCCAAAGCGCCAAACAAACCTATTCAGGTAGTTTATGTGCCCTCACATCTGTTTCACATGCTATTTGAGTTGTTCAAGGTAAGTGGAATTTAACAACATGGGAAGAAGTCTTCATTTTAAATTACTTTGATTCAGGGCATAATGGATTCATTAAATTAGCATAAGAAAAAGGTTTTGCATAACCATTTTAAAAATTCTATTTCTGATATCCTGTGGGCTTTATAATTTTTACACTGTGAGATGAAAAATTGCTGTGTACAGTATAGTTTTCGGGAATATTAGTACATATTGATTTTGAAGCTTAATTGTACTTTAGTCATTTTATATAAAATCCATAGTGTTTTTTCTTTGCTTATGAGATTAGAGATGCTTTTTCATTTCCAAACCTGGCAAAGACTTTATTGATGGTAGCCCGATTAAAATAAAAGCATGTTTATGCATATTTATGCCTCTGAGCATTAACTGTACTGGTACATTAGTAGTTGTTCTAGTTCTGAGAGCTACTGTAACTTTTTAACATATTTGAGTCATTTCAGAAGATCTGACGGAGGAAGAGGAGCAAGACGTGGAATGGCTAGACCAGAGAGAACACGCCCCCCCACCCCCCAAAAAAGTCTTTAGACTCTCTACAGCATAAGCTGTTGCTTTTGTTAGCCAGTAGCCAATGGCATATATGGTAACAGTATTACAGGCACAAGGCATTTGCAGTAAAATTTCATTTCTTCCAATACGTGCAAAACCCTAAATTGAACCCCTGAAAATCAGTTGTGCTGTTTTGCACCCCCAAATTATATTGTTACTGAGGTAACAACCAAAGGTCGAGATGGGCATCAATTGTGAGCTTTCTCCTGAACAGCCATGGCTTTTTCAGAATGTCTTCTTAAAGGACATTTTTTCCACTTTTTCTTTTCAGCCACATGGTTAATTTTTGTGGGAAGCGGGTTTCCCACCCTCTTGACAGGGCAGGCGCCCTGTCACTGCAGAGCGTTAGGTAGGATTGAGAGCACGTCAGTGAGCCTCGGTGGCCTTGTCACATGTGACCAAAACACTCCTCTGGGTTGAAAGTTGAATAATTGAGTACCCTAAAGCCAAACAAATGGAAAAAGGAAAGGAAAGAAAAACAGACGTGTACTGTGGTAGGTGGGGCTCACACTAGGCGAAAAACGAAGCATCAGGAAGTGTTTCCTTGACCTGAACGCACATTTAGCTAAGTTCTTTGGAAGGAAAAAAATAGCTACATACATGGTACTAATATTTCCCCCACAAAACAATTATGTATCAGTAATCTCACGTGAGTTTCTTTTCTTAAAATGTGGTTTGTGAGTCAGTGGTATGCTTTAAAAAAGGTCTTCTTATTTCAGAACTCAATGAGAGCAACCGTCGAACTCTACGAAGACAGGAAAGAAGGCTACCCTTCTGTTAAAACCCTTGTTACTCTGGGTAAAGAAGACTTGTCCATTAAGGTAACTGCTCGGCGTGCACATACACTTTCATTACCGGTTCATTCAATGGTATCTAGACACTGAGGAATCAGAGGGAAGGGAAGAAAACTGACATTTACCGAACATTGTATTTTTAAGTGCTGTATTAGATCTTTGGCTGAAGTTACTGTATTTTTTTGGACCATAAGACACACGTAGGTTGTAGAGGAGGAAAATAGGAAAAAAAAATTGAAGCAAGAAATGTGGTAAAATATTTAATAACATAAATAAACATAATATTTCACCAATGTAAATGTAAACAGAACTCAACAGCATCATTAACAACCATTATCCCTCCCAAATTTGGGTGGGTGGGGGTGAAAGTGCATCTTATAGTCCGAAAAATATGGTACCTTATTTAAATTTCATTAGTACCTCGTTTTCCAGGAAGCTAAACAGGGTCTCGAACCCAAGCCTGTGGGATCCCACAGCTTCCCTGCCTCCTTCGTTTTACACTGTTCACAGAGGAACCATATTTCATTGGGGGTTCAAAGCCCATGCACGTTTTAGAGTAATTTCATATGGACTTTATTTAACAGACTTGTTGCCTTCTACTAAGTATAGACTGTTGCCTACCCCACCTCCTCCTCCATTACAGATCAGTGACCTAGGTGGCGGTGTTCCCCTTCGTAAAATAGATCGTCTTTTTAACTACATGTATTCAACTGCTCCTAGACCAAGCCTGGAGCCTACAAGAGCTGCCCCTCTGGTAAGCATCTTAAACTGCGGCTTAAGGGAAGATCGTTAACATGAGCAGGGACTCAAACTGGGCTGGGCGTGAACCTCGCTGAATTGGAATGTTTCTTGCGTGGTTTGAAGGAGGGCAAATTTTATGCCACAGCTACTTTCTTTGTCAATCCTTTGGACTTAGATTTCTTCTGTAATTTGTGTCTGAGACACACTCAGAGCTCAGTGTCTTATTCGCAAGTACAGAGAAAAGCCATTTCCCTTTGGGTAAGAGTGCTTCAGGAGCACCATTTACCACCTGGCGCTCCCCTTGGAAGAGGTGGAAGTTTAATCGCGGTGAGCAAAGGAACAGCGCAGCGTGTCTGGCTGTAGTGTGTCCTGGCATTTGGGTGCTGTGTACCAAACCACCCTAGGCCTTTGAACTTCCCCACCAAATTTGTTTATATAATTAAGATGTGAAATTATGAACATAGGAAATTTTTTGTATTAAAGAACATAAGCAGAAACCATATAGGTGGTGTGTGCATTTTCAGAGCCCTTTCTGTCTCAGTCTGGAAATAACCTTCAGCCCTATTAAGGCAGTGAGAAAAGTCTGGTTACCATGGCAGCGTTTAGATCCTGGTAGGGCCACACTTTCTTCCCCTGCTGAGTGTTTCTAATTGACAAACAACAATTGAACCCTTTGTCATTAAACACAGCAACATCTATCAGTCTGCAAAAATGGTTCAGGGTATAAATTAAGCTTCATTTTCAAGTCCTACCCAACTGGTAAGCACGTAAGATTATATTTTATTTGTATGAATAAATTCTTAACACTTTGCATTGTTTATTCAAGACAGAGTTTATTAACGCAGCATGTTGAAAGCAGAGAGGAAGTCGCTTACATCAGATTCAAGAAAATTCATGAAAGATCAAATTTGAAAGGCACTGCCTTGACCAGGCTCTGGTACCTACTTAAATAAATGTCAAAGGGGAAAAAAAATCCTACGAGCAAAACTAGAGCCTTTCTCATTTATTTAAAAGGAGTACGGATTGTCTATTCCAGGTCTCAGAATAGCATCTTGCGAACAGCTGTTGTGTCATAGTTATTTGTTAATGATTGAGACCTTCAAAAACACAAAAACAACCTCCCATTTTATAAATGAGAAAATAAGCTTAGTACCTTGCCCCAGGTCATTGAGCTAGCTCATTACAGCACCAGCTGCCTCTGCGTTCTTTCCAGTGTGCTTACCACATGGCCTCTCCCTTTGGAAGACGTGCTTCCTCTCACATCTCTCCCAGTTTGTAAACTGTCCTCAGCTTTAAACTGGGCATGTGGATGTGTGCTGCTAGAAAACATAACTCCCTCACCAGACACCTTACTGTGTTACAGCTCTGTGCCTTGACACATGCATTTCTTTTTCAGAAATGTCCTCCTAGCCAACCCCTATTGACCCTTTGACACCGTGGGAAAACTCTCCTGAGCCTCACCCAGTCCAAGTTAGAGGCCCCTCGTCTGCATTCCGCAGGGCTCTAGGCTTACCTGTCTCCTCACACTGGGGACTGCATGGGCCCCAGGTGTGCTCGGCTGGTCCCTGGCAGGCCTGAGAACAGGGGCCTGGGCCTTGCTGGAATGGAGGAGGCCAATTTCCTTGGTGTCTCGCTGGAGTATGCTGGTTTCTTTACTGTGGTGATTTTAGTCACCATTATGGATATTTTTGTCTTCACTACTGGTCATATTCTACCAGTCTTAATTAACACCCTTAAATGACAGGGTGTACTCCCCTGTCACACCCAGCCCTTTGAGTTAGTCCCTACCCTGATGAAGAAATCGAGGAAAGATGGTAGAAATCCATGTAACTTGGTAGAATTGCTGTTCTGTAGTAACCACAATAGCAATTACCATCTATTTCATTTTATTATGTCTGATGAGGTAATTTTTTAAAATTACATTTTTTTCTGATGAGAAAACAGTCTCAGAGAGGCTGAGTAAATAGCTCGGTTTCACAAAAAGTGTGTTTCAGCTTAGGTGTATCTCAGCCTAAAGCCCAGGCAACGGCCACTGCATGGTGCTTTGCCCCGCCACCTTCTTTGTTAACCTTGGCAGTGGACTCAATCAGAGGGAGTGATGCGTGTGCTACAGCATTTTCCCCTGTAACTCCAGCATTACTGAAGTCAGTCTCAAATGGTCTTACTGTTCTTGTCAATACCTGAGATGTTTTTTTACGCCCCCCCCCCCGACCTGTTACTGACAGTGTTCTATGATGTAGAGATATAGGCAGGTACTGGAATTCTTTTCTTGTCTCTAAAAATATGTGGATTAGCATATATCAAAATCTTATAGCATTCCCAGAACCTTAGGAAGAAGCCACTTAGGAAATGGTTCTCTTTTCAATGCATTAGCCTCGGTGCTGGTAGATTTGCACTCCTGTGCTGTTCAATTTAATTTTTGCTTCAAGAGCAAGGGAGTCCGAGAGTGAAACTTTGGAATGGTGTGGTTTAGTTTTGTTGCCAGTTCAAATGCTGCTTAATTTGGGATTTGCTTTAAACATACTAAAACAAAACATAACAAAACAAAAACGGTTCTTTCAAGTGCTAAGAAAGTGTTAGTCAAAAATTGCGGTGTTTCTAGTATTTTCCAAACCTACAAGAAATGTTTTTGTACACTGAAAATAGATTGTTTGCCATAGATGAGCATATACATCATTGTAAGGGCCGAATCAATCATGGGTTTTCTTTAAATCTGAATCAAGAATTTCTTTTAATCTTCTGAATGATCCTCATACCAAATGTGTTGGCATGTGTGCCTGTCTCAACTATATTCATTTTCTTTTCTTTGTAGGCTGGATTCGGTTATGGCTTGCCAATTTCTCGTCTGTATGCTAGATATTTTCAAGGAGATCTAAAACTGTATTCTATGGAAGGAGTGGGTACAGATGCTGTAATTTACTTGAAGGTACTACACATTATTTCTGTTAGTATGAAGGCATCTAAACTTTAAAGCTGTAAATTCTAATAACTGATAAATAGACCATAGCATCTATCACCTGTCATATCAGCTCAGATTTACTTCAGTGTATGTGAAAGCCATGTCACATAATCCCCACTCTTGATTTTACACATAGATATAGCAAAGAATGAAACATAGAGACATAAGAAGTAAAAGAATGACTTTTAAAATCATAATTCAAAGTTGTGACTTTCACAACAAATTGCATAGCTATTGAAAGGCTTAATCTAAAAGGAGACAGGTTATCATAAACTGGAGTCTTTTAATCTTTTGCTTTTAAAACTTGCTGGCTTTCCCAAAGTTACAATTCAGTAATCATAATATAGTTATATAAAAGGCTGATCTAATAGCAAAGATCTCTGTAACACAGGCTTTTTCATTCATTGGTGGTGTTAGACTTGAAATCATTTCTAAACTGGAATATTTGAGGTATTTTTTGAATGGCTAATATAGGCACATGCTACAAAATGGAAAACTAAGTGTCTCCCACCACTGGCCCTAAGGCATCCTGTTCTGCTTCCCAGAGGTAACCTGGGGTACCAGTTTCTTATGGATTCTCCTAGAAAAATCTAATTTTTAAAAAGATTTTATTTATTTATTTTTAGAGAGAGGGGAAGGGAGGGAGAAAGGGAGGGAGAGAAACATCAATGTGTGGTTGACTGTCCCTGGGGGCCTGGCCTGCAACCCTGGCATGCACCCTGACTGGGAATCGAACTGGTGACTGCTTCTCAGGCCAGCACTCAATCCACTGAGCCACACCAGCCAGCGCAAAATCAAATTTTTTTTTCACACAAATGATTATTTCAGCACTTGGCTTTTTTTTTTCTTTCCAGTATATCTTGGATATCTTTCCATATTGATTCACGTGGAACTGGCTCCTTTTTAACAGCCGCATATTTTGTTATATATGCATGTAATATGTTATATCAAAACTTAGCCAGTTATTTGGAGTGTTTATCTTAGATGTCATTGCATTTAAATGGTGTGATATTTCATAATACCTTATGGGTTATATTCATAAATCTAGCATGTATGAAACATTATTTCTTTGTGGGCCCTTTGGAAGAGCAGTTGCCCAGTGAACAGTAGTGCATGTCACGCTGACTGGTGTGGCTCAGTTGGTTGGGCGTTGTCCTGCAAAGCAAAAGGTCACCAGTTTGATTCCTGGTCAGGGCACATGCCTGGGTTGCAGGTTTGGTCCCCAGTCTGGGTGCAAACGAGAGGCAACCACACATTGATGTTTCTCTCCCTCTCTCTACCCTCCTTCCCCTCTCTTTAAAATCAATGAAAAAATTGTCTTTGGGTGAGAATTTTTTTAAAGTATCTCAAACTAGATTCAAATGCTTTTTGTTCTGGTCACGTGTATGTCAGTTCTGGCTTTGAATGAGTGAATGTTTATATCCCTTTAAAAAAGCTTTTATTTCATCCTGCTTGTCTAAGTAATCTAAAATAGTATAATAGTATAATTTTGATATAATTCAAAAATACGTATTAAGGTTTTTGACATTTTAAATAGTCAAATTTGGGTTAGTATTTCATATGAGACAAATAACACTGTGGCCCTTTGGTGTATATTTTTCCACTAGGCGCTCTCAAGTGAATCATTCGAGAGGCTCCCAGTATTCAATAAGTCAGCCTGGCGCCATTACAAGACCATGCCTGAAGCCGATGATTGGAGCAACCCCAGCAGTGAGCCCAGAGATGCTTCAAAATACAAGGCAAAACAGTAATATATTACTTTGCTTTCTATTCTAGAGTATCTGATTTTGTCCCAGAATACACCAGCAGGACAATGGATACTTTCAGCCAAACCTTCCTTGTGGTTTTGTCACTGGAAGAGCAAAATGATCCCCGAAACAAATAATGCAGCAGGTTTCTCACCCCAGACAGGAACGAGGGAGCAAGAATTGGGCAGCCAGAGCAGCCATTCAGATAGAGGCCCTGCTGTTCCAGGGGTCTGTGTGCTATGGAGGCCTTAACAGCAGTGGGCAGGGTTTATCCTGCTGTGACTTATATTTGAAAAGTAATTCAGTTGGCAGTTTATCATCATCCATAGAGCTTGACAGAGAAAATAAGTTACAGAAATTCCGTGGGTTGAAACTGAAAAAATAAAGCAGTTAAAATGACCAATCTAGATAAACAAATGTGGTATATCCACACAATGGAATATTATTCATCCTTTTAAAAGAACGAAGTTCTGACATGTGCTTCGATATGGATGAACCTGAAGTCGTCATGCTAATAAGTGAACTAAGCCCAACCTGAAAGGGCAAACACTATAGGATTCCACTTACATGAGGGACCTAGTGTAGTCAAATTCGTAGAGGTGGAAACTAGAATGGTGGTTGCCGGGGGAGAGGGAGGGGGAATTGTTTACTGGGGCAAGAGCTTTAGTTGGGGAAGATGAGAAAGTTCTAGAGGTTAGTTGCACAACAACATGAATGCACTAACACTACTGAACTGTATACTTAAAAACAACCAAATTGTACTGATATTTTTTCATTCAAATTTAGCATTGCAATGTTTCTCCCTAATGCATTTTAATTGTATATATTTCTTCTTAACCTGAAAACCTTGTCTTAACATCATGCCACAGAAAGGTATTTGTCTGCGAATACAGTTTGTATGGCATTGTATTTTTGTCCATTTGTCATAGCATTGGTCTTTCTGATGAATGATATAAAGGGTGTCTATACTTTTTCCTGTGGAAGTGTTGTGATGGACCTGTGAGCAGTAAGCAGGACTGGTCACTTATCTGAAATGTATACTTGCCCGTGAGTGCAAGCGCACACTCGGGTGTGTATGTGTACTCACATGCACATGCAAACACACACTCACACACCCCATCCCCAGCCAAGATTAAGCTAAATCACCTTGAAACGCCCGGATCAATTTCCCTTGATTCCATTTTCAGTCTGTATGTAAGGCAAGTAGCATAGTGGGCATCAATGTGACTAATTAACTCAAACTATTGCTCTGATGGTGGAGTTGTCTGGGTAATACAGATGCAGTCTTTATACATAATAAGGGTCATTTGAACTGTGAAAGGGATGACTTTTAATTGGCTATTGTTTTGAAGGCAATTTTAAAACTCTAGAAGTTTTTAGCAGGTTGTATACTACTTGTGAGTCTTAATTTCTAGTATATTTTTAGACAAACATATTTTAGCAGAAAGCAATTTTTAAAATTCTAAAATGGTTAGCCTGGCAATTAAAGTTGTTAAATTACAGAAGTAGGAAAATTAGTGGTGATCTTGGGAAAGTAGTAGGTATGGTAAGTTCACTAGGTGAATGAGAAATTCTAAGAAAATATATTTTCTAATCAGATTTTTAACAAGAGTTCTATTGAGGTACAATTCATATACCATAAAATTCACCCTTTTAAAGTGTACAATTCCATGGTATTTAGTATATTCACAGAGTTGTGTGACCCTTGTCACTATCTAATTTTAAACAGTTTTATCATTCCCAAGAGAAACCGTGTGTCCGTTAGCAGTCATTCCTCATTCCTAACCAGGTTTCTAACTGAGACTAAAGAACTATTTTAAAGTATACATAAGTAATTAAGTGATCATTCTTTTTCTGTAGTAAACCATAGACAATAATTCTGAGATAAGTCAAGAGCTTTTGAATTATCACTGTAACTAAATGCTCTGAATAAGTCTTGCTTACAATCAAGAAGCTTATGCTTATAAACTCACTATGTATATTCCCATTATTTTCTTTGTAGAGACAAGATCAAGACTAATAGAACTTTCTAGAGAACTGAATGCTTTGGTCCTCTCTGTGAAGAAAGATCATCTCGCGCAAGTCAACCTCTGAGCTCCTTTCCTCTACTCTGAGCGTGACACCATCATTATTCTAGTGTTGGACCTTTGCCAGAGAAACTTTTCCTGTAGTTACTTCAGATTTTCCACTAGAGTAGTCAACTGAGTAATTTTTTCATGGTTGGTTGTGATTTGGTTGGTGCCGTCACAAGAGAGCACAGAGCCTCGTGAGTGCTCCTGTGTCCTCATACCTCTCTCCTCATTGTCATGAGTCAAGTGTCTGCAGTGTCCCCAGGGTTCTAAGGTCCCTCCGCATTCCAGATACAGCAGATCTCTACTGTTGCAGCTTGTGACCAAATACCACGTTTGTCCCAAACCACCAACGGAGGCCTGGGAAACATGGAGTTGAAGACACCAGTTGAGTGTGTCTTGGTGATTCAGTCCCAGAGCCCCTCCTCTCGCACATACATCCGTCCTCACTCTCTGAGGGAGAGTTTTGCCTTCTGCCATCTGACCATACTCTCATTGTGAGGTGTGTGTACTTTTGTGCTAGATCTTACTCTTTGATGCATTGGTTTTATTTTAAAATTCATTTGTATACTTTTATTCTGTCCATTAAAGCATTCCAAAAGTTGTCTTGGAATTTTTCACTTAGCTGCTTGGTTTCAAAGATCTTAAGTGAAAAACTACCTTGTGGTCACTATCCAGTTTGTAAAGATTGGGAAGTGGAGCTTTTACACTTACGTGCCCTTTTTACCAATCTAATACTGTACCTTTGTCATATTATGATCCTTTGTAGTTTTCGAAGGAATTGTTACTCCTCGCATGAGGTACTTCACTACTTGTAAAATAGACTATCAAAGGGAAAAGTTCTTTGGAGTTTATTTTGAAAAATGCCCTAGGTCTTTATAATTTTCAGTTTCACAAATTTTAGCCAGTTTTAGAATTGCCAATCTGATTTTCACAATCCTTTGCTTTTTGCTGAAAGTTGGAATTGGCAGAGGACTTGGGGTGAGGACATAGGATTCGCTGTTATTTACCCATAGAAGGGGGAGCTGTCCAAGAGTTCAGATTACACCCCACCACTTACATAGCTCCATGGGAAGTGTTTCTTTCATTTCATCATGTGGTAGTTACCCTTCATGTTCAGAAAGATCCCATCTCTTCCGTCCTTGGAAGGATCTCATCTCAAAACTCACAATCAGGTGAAAGAAATGCCGATGTACTTCCAACACAGGGGTGACGGGATGGTCCTTGTGGAGGCCCAACCAGGGCTGTTTCATATGATTATTTCCTTGTGTAAAAGATTAAAAAACTAGTGGCTCTTTACATTTAGAAACCCTGGTTTCCTTATAAACATTAGCTGGTATATGAGTATCTTGCTAGTCCTCCATTTATTACTCCTTTACACTTTCAAGTATGGTGCACTGTGGGGGGAAGGAAGGTTCTGGAAGTGTTCCCTCCTACCTTGTTCTGCTTCACTGTGCTTGAAGAACACCCATTGATCATTGTACCCTCACAGCAAACTCCATGTAAAGGTTGAAGAGGGAAAATGTAGTATGGGAAAATCCTATCGCATTCCCCGCTTTCAGGTCTTTTTCAAAAGTAAAGTTTTCTTTCAATGTTTTAGTGGCTTAATTAGTAGTCCTTTACTCATATGCTTTCTGGTTTACTCATATCCATCTGATGCCAGTTTGATCTTGCCTCCTCTTTGCTTTCTGCATTAAGAATTTAACTTTGAATCCCTGGCTGGCGTAGCTCAGTGGATTGAGTGCGGGCTGCAAACCAAAGCATCACAGGTTCGATTCCCAGTCAGGGCACATGCCTGGGTTGCAGGCCACGGCCCCCAGCAACTGCACATTGATGTTTCTCTCTCTGTCTCTTTCTCCCTCCCTTCCCTCTCTAAAAATAAAGAAATAAAATCTTAAAAAAAAAGAATTTAACTTTGCTCCTGAAGTAACCACAGGAAGAGTTTCAGGAACATCTGGCATCCTCGCGGTTTGGTGCCCCCAAGTATTCATGTATTCGTTTTGTTGGCTGTGCATGATTCTTTGAACTTAGATGCATTTTCTCTGGCTGTTTTGACAGGTTTGTCTCTAAACAAATGGTCAAAAGTCTACATATGAGTTGTAATATAAATAGACATTGATGCCTTTGCCACAAAATTCATTTAGTTCAACCAGTTCCTCTCTTTGCCTTTCATGGACTTGATTTTAAGTATTTGGAGAGTGTGTCTACTATTTGGAACAGTGCCTGGCACATATAGGTGCTTAATAAATATTAGCTGAATGAAAGTATGAAAATTGAGAGACATTTACCATGGGTGGAGGGCAACATCTCTCTAAGTTCTTAAACTGTCTTTGTTCCCAAATTAAAAATCATTCCAGTCAGCAACTGTGGAAGTGCCAAATTTCCTTTTTGTGGTGCTAAGCAGTGACTTTAAAATGGAGAGAAACAAAAGTCCCTACTTCTTTCATTAGGGATGGATCCACAGGAGGCTTCTGATGCTTTTTGGTCTTTGCATATTCATTTTGACCCCTTAATATAGTTGGTTCTTTCCATCCAACCAAGCGGCATGGGTTCATAGCCTTGCTTGTCTATCCCAAAGAGCTTTTACATCCAGCATTCCCTGATCCTTACCATGCTGTGCGGAGGAGCACGCAGGCATTATCTCTGTTTTTCATGAGCCCCAAAGCAGTGCGGTGTTTGCCAAGGTGACACGGTAAGTGATTAGAAGAACCAAGGTGAGTAGTCAGGTCTTCTTATTCCTAGGCCTGTACTCTCAGCAATGCACCAAGTAATTAGCATTCTCTCTTTTGGGGAAATTCCTGGGTGTATCAACCCTCAAGGGTAAGATGTAAACCACAATTTTTCTGTAGTGCAAGAGAATTCTATTCAGGAGAGGTTTTTCTTTTGTGTGTTTTCATTTTGGCATGGTTAGTGAGAGGAGATAATCGAATGGATTTGGCAAGTTTTACCGAGGAAGACAGGCAACTTAAAGTATATAGCGGTAGGTAATTGTTAGAGTTATTTAGATTTAATTTTATGTTTGAATGAACTCAGTGCTCACTGCCAGCCCTTTATACAAAGACTCCTCATTCGAGAGTTGATGCTTTCAGCTTCTGGTGGGCTGGTTGCAGCTTCAGTTGGATTTTCTCGCATGTTTACAAATGTAGCTCTATTGCTATTCCATATGTTCAGTAACCTGTCTGGGTCTCGGGTTCTTGGGTCACATCCTCTGTCCCTTGATTCTTTGGACATCTCACTTTATTGTCTTCTAGTGCCTGGTGATGCTGAGAGAGCGGAATCCAGAGAGAACTTTCTTCCCCTTTGGTAGATGACCTGCTTGTTTGCTCTGGGTACTTGTGATTTCTTGTTTATCCTTGAATTCAGTAACTCCATTGGAGTGCATGTCAGAGTTGACAGACATCTGTTGGCTTTTTCTGGTCCTCAGTGACATTCAAGATTGACATTTGACCTGACCGGATTTCTTACTAGTTCATTTGTTTTCTTCTTCAACAGTTTGTCCCAGTATTGGCTGTCGGTTATCTGTCCTTCATATTTATCCCTTTTTCAATCACTGTCACCTCATCTTTCTTCCATAGTGTTGATTCTAGGCCTTGATGCTTCCAATGTGGCTTTCACTTCTGTTGTGGTTTTATTTTTTATCTGTTTCTTTTTTAGCTCTGCCAGCTTTCTTCTCTCACTATGTTGTCCTGTTTCACTCCTTATTTCATTTCATTTGGAGGCTGAACAGTGTGGTCTACATTTTTGTGGTTTCTGAAATCATTCTGTTTCCAGAGTATGTGTTCATCTGTCTTTTGTTTCTTTCATTCCTTTCCTTTTCTGTTGTTTTGCTCTGTTATTGTTGCACAAGTATCATGATGGCTTTTCTGCTTATTATTTGTGCTTGCATGGGACCAGTTCTGTCTGCCCAGGGAGAGGATGGACAAAGCCTTCTTGAGTCCTCTCTGAAGTGAGAAGTGTTTGAACGATCACCTTAGCACTTGAAGTGTAAAGCTAGATCTTGATGGGTCGTACTGGTGAGGCTGTTGTTCTGTTTTTCATCCTGCTCTCTAGATATGGGGAAATAGGGAATGAAGTGAAGTTTCCTTGGCCCATGTTGTCTGTGAGTGCCTTCCATGGACAGTGTGGGATCCTTTGCCCTGGGGTGGGCAGGTCCCATTGGGGGGGAGGGATTCCCCGACTTCTCCCATTTACACTAGATGTTGTGCTAGCAAAAGTGTGGAGAGTTTGTGCTTTGGCTCTGCTGGATTATATGTTCAGCAGGTCCTTGAATAACGTCGTTTCGTTATAACATTGATGAGATGCCATAGGAACTTAACTGTTGTCTGTGTCGACTCACCTGTGGTAAAACTGGTTTTGTTATACATCGTTTCACTTAAAGTCAAAGACCCTATCCACAATGTTAGGTGAGGACTTACTGTAGTCAGCTTGTGGATGACTGGCTCCTGAGTTACTGTTTCCGTCTGCTGCACACAAATGGTGCACCTGAGATCTCAACCTCCCTTAGGTTTTCTCCTGGAAATGTGCCCATGGAGTGTATACTCTGCTTCTCCGGGCTGTCACCACTCTTGGTTTTCTTCAAGTTAAGTTAACTGTCATTGGTAGAATCCTTTGGAACATTCTTGTGAACGGCCCAGCAACTATGGTTTACTTGGAAAATTTCAGAATCTTCCTTTGATAAGTGCCCAACTTCACTGTGTCTGTCAGACACTCCCCTGGAGTCCTCAGTATGTGGTGGTAGCTTTTATTTGTTTCATTACAGAGAGCTGCTTCAGGTTTTGGTGGTGTGTGTTGAAGGGCAGGCGCACCAAGATAAGCATGCATTTATTCTGCCATCTTTCCCAATGGTCCAGGTGCTTAAACATTAACTTTGAAGGTAATGTACTTCATAATCATAATCCGTGTTAGTGAGCAGAAGGACTCAATATTGCTAGGAGGAAAGACCCATTAATAACTTGATCAATACAGGATTTTTGTTTATTGTTCATAATGGAAAGATAACTTTTAATTCAGGTTCCTGTTCCATCAATTAGAGATATCAGTACCTTCTGGTTTGAAAGTAAGGGACATTTGACATTTTAATGAATGTAAGATGTTATCAGCCACTGAGTTATTTATGTGTTAATTAAATATAATAGAATATTTCTAACTAGCACATAATCAGAGTTATCAGGAGAAGTATATACTGTTTTTTTATTAGCAGTTCACTAGCCAAGCTACCCCACTGAGGGTAGTTACCCTTATGAGAGCTTTACTATGACGTAAGGGTTTGGGGTTTTTTTCTTGCCTCTCTTTTCAACCAACCCATTTTATAATTTGGTTCTTTAAGAAATAGAAACGTTCAATTCCTCATCGGCATTATTTCTGTTTTTCATGCGCGTGCATGTCCATGGTTTGTAGGTCTGGGGCCTACTGTAGGAACACAGGCGGCCATGCTTCAAAAGGACAGGCGGGTCACAGGCTGCAGGTCTAATTTGGCCTGTTTGTGCCATCTCCCTTCCTGGTGGCCAGCATACTCTACTAGGCACACTTTTCTCACCTTCAGGGCCTAGCACAGAGGTGTCAAACTCATTTTCACCCAGCCCCACTATTGCCTTCAAAGGGCTG